TGCATTCATTGGAAATGCGGATCCATATTTTACAAAAGTTACATTCAATTAGAAAAGCTATAGTGAAAAACCTTGACTACCAAAAGATAACATCACAACTGCAAAGCAATGGCGGGATCAAACTCTTTATAGGATGAATAATCCATGGAGCTCCTGCAGCAAAACACCGTAACCTGCCTAAAGTCAAAGAACAATCAGAGCTTAACCCTTTTTTTCAACAATAAAATAACATGAGTATGAAGTTCAACTTACCAATACGAAAACGAAACAATACTCCCAAAAAGACTCCTAGATTTCCGGTGACCAAACAAAGGAGCTTCATGTAGTATATCCAAAAACCTAGAGTACAATAATAGTAAATTCAACACCAAAATCATTTTGGTATAGATTGTGCAGAAGTAAAGCATGAATGAAACAATTCAACTACTTAAGCAGAATAATTAAACAATAAAATAAACAGCCAGTGATCAACACGAAACTCAACAAAACATAATTCAACACATTAATGAGGAAAAGCAGGCGAAGATTATGAATTTTAAGAGAATGTGTGAAGCAAACTGCACGATCGGAAACTTACATAGCATTATCTTCAGGAGAAGTCGGAGTCGAGGAAGCGTGTCTCTCCGTTGACATCTTCTAAGCCTATTTCGTTTTTCGTCAATTTTTTTTGTGAATTGCTTTGGATTGAAGATTTGGAATGAGATGGAGACAGGAGAGACAGTTTAATTGCAGAGCCCGTCGTTAACCTGTTAATTAACATGAAAATATACAGTAGAACCTTGCCCACAAAATATTATATTTACGTAAATCCAATTAAAATAAAAATAAATTTTAATGTAATAAGTTTTAATTTTTCTGTCTCGTCTTAAGAAATTTACTTTTATAAATTATATGATATACAAAAAAACATAAGTTATGATTTAAATGTTTAAGATGAAATAAAATATTTATCTAAAGTTGTTGAACAGTAATTTATATTTTAGAGTTTTTACCACAACTTTTATAAGTCACCAACATGGACACTTTCTGTTGAAGAAAATATTCTAGCTTCTCAATATGTTTATAGTTTCTTAACATAAATTTTTGGTATTTTCGTACTATCATCCTCAAAATTATTTATTCCCCTTCTTGTCTAATTCTAATAATTATTATTCTTCGTTAAAACATACACAGCTTGTTGCTCATTTGGATGATTGAGGAAGAAATTAAGTACTATTAATTAGTGTAGTAAGTTGTCAAATCTGTTCATCAATTAATTTGTACTACTGAAACATGAATTATAAATACAAAATCAAAACAATAATTTTATAACTACACCTCTATTAAGTTATAATCTCTCATAATAATAAATTTAGATAGTTCTAACATTATTATAGAGAGATTCTATTGTTATATTTAAAAGGGACTTTAGTTACGATTCTTAAAACCCTGAAGGAAAGAAAAATTGACATGACCTCCCTTCACATTTGAGATTTAACGTAATGTCTTCAGAGTCATTAGTTAACAGAATTTCGTTATCTAATGTATTTTTGGCCCCTCATGAGACCGATAATACTAATTCATGCATTTCATTTTAAAAGTATAAAAAATGTTCCTACTGTTAGTGATACAATAAAACCTCTCTATTATCATAATATTGGACTAACTAATTTTTTTATAAAGAGGTTAACTTAATGGAGGTGTAGTTACAAAAATTATAGTTTGATTTTTGATTTTATAATTCATGTTTAGTAGTACAGTATTAGGATTTCAATTCATATTTTAATAATATTAGATTTCAATACAGCATTTCAATTGTCTACTTTTGAAATGGATAAAAGATCATTCTTAGAACCAGCAAAAGTAAGTGTCATTAAGGAATTGTAAATATAGTTGATGCATGGTTAATTGATGTGAAGTCATAGACAATTGTCAATGGTTTTAAGCGCTGCAAAATAAAGACCACTAATGTCAATGAATTGTAAGTTACAAATAAAGTGATGAGAGGAATAAAAGAGTTACTATAGAATTGAGTAATTAGATTCGACAAATCACTACACTAATCGAATGGATATTAATGTCTTCTTCGATTATCCAAAGAGCAACAATTATATATTCTTTAACAAAGGAGAAATCATTATTGCAATTAACAAGAAGAGAAAGGAAATAATCCTAGGATAATAGTACGGAAATACAAAAAGTATTGTGTCATGAAGCTCTAAAATGCTTGAGAAGCTAAAAATATTTTGGTTCAACAAAAAAGTATCTATGCTAACGAGTTATTACGTACTCGTAAGGTAAAAGATGTGATAATAACTCTAAAACATAAATCATTATCCCAAACAATTAAATATATATTTTATTTCATTTTAAACCTTAATTTTACATAATATTTTTTTTTTGTAATATACAGATAATTATTGCAATGTAGAGGCAACTTTCTTAAGGCGAGAATTAGAAAAATTATAATTATTACAATGTAGAGTTTATTTTATTTATAATTATCCAAATTGGGACTAGAATTTTTTATGACTATATAAAGTTTATACCTATATAGAGTATCACTATAGAGAGATTTTACTGTATTAGGTTTCATCCAATTTTAAAATTAAAAGTCTATTTTACACCCAACCATCACATAACTTAACAAATTTTTTAAATCTTTATTCAATAAATATCTAAATCACAAAATCACCCTGAACTTACAATTATACAATCCTAAGCAAGGTTACACATTAGTTGAATTTTAGATAAAGAAAATGTATAATAATTGTGCTTTTAAAGTGATAAAGTATGTGGAAAACGAGATTAATATGAATGAAATAATTTATACTAATTAAATAAATAGAGATGTTGAAATATTGATTTATCAACTATAGTAATAATTATATTTTAATTAAAACATAAAAAAATTTAACTTATTAAAACTAGCCATGTAAAAGAAAAAAAAAAACTAGATGTGTTATTGTCCACCCACACCCCTGAAACAAAAACCCTGCCAGCCCCATGAATTTCAGAAACTACAATGGAGACCTCTTACCCTCTCTTTGGCCTTAAATTGGATGAAGGGAAAGCCAAAATGGGGTTTTAAACTACCTATATTGAGTAAATCTGGTTCGAGCCTTAGTTCTCAAAATCCCACAAATGGAATCCACTCAACTCACACAACTTTTCATGGTTTTAAAAAGGATACAAAACATATTTAAAGCAAAACTGATAAAAAAAACCCCAAATTGCAAAAGTCCTAAAATCAACTCCTCTCCGATTATCAAATAACAAAACCAAAACTCAATCCTAAATCAAATGCAAAATCAAAAATCAAATGATGTTTAAGTGGTTTACGGTTAGAGAAAGTGGCCTTTGGTAATTACGGTGTTCACAAAATCCGTAACCGAACAAAATGAAAACATGTTTTCTGATGAAACCAGTTGGTTTCGGTTCAAGAATTTCTTTTAACCGAATTTCTGGTTTGGTTATTGGTTTTAGATTCTGAGAATGGTTAACCGAAATTGTTTTAAAACCGGTTTTGCAATAAAAATTAAAATGTCAAAAGGGACAAAAGGTCAAAACCGGTTCAAAATCAGTTAACCAGTTTATAGGAACCTATTAATCGGTTTAGTGTTTTTTTTTTTTTTTTAAAGTTTTGGTGTACATTTTTACACTTTCTGGAGGGAGGAAACCGGTTAACCAGAAAAAGGTTCGATTCAAAACCTTCCCTAGAACTTGGTTGGAACCGGTTCAGTTAAAAAAAAAGGGCATTCGGACCGATTAACCAGTTTGAATACCCATACTAGTAATGTGTCGCAGTATTGACTGACATGGTGGTCTGGTAGTATGGATAATAGGTCGACATAAACTTTAAGCCATTCGCGGATGGCCATGCTTTGTTTGGTAGTTGTCAACAAAGTGCTAGCAATTTGGCTTACTAAAAACACATGTTGCTTGTCGGGGAAAAGGGTGAAGTCCGATCTACTTTTGCGGTTTGACATTAAATTTTTTGTTTCTAATTGATTTGTAATTGAGGGGGTTTTGGATTTTTATTTGTAATTAGAGGTGTTTTTAATTTCCTTATATAATTTTACAAAATAAGAATATAATTACTTAAATAGATTTTTAGAGGGGTAAAATGGTGAACTGATCGTAAATCTATGTACAAATATATAAATTCGATGGCCAATAACAACCAAACTATCAAATTAACGGGAAAAAAGAAACAGCAGGGGGTCTCTATGTAGTTTCTAAGTTCGTGGGGGCGCATTATTTTTTTCAGGAGGTGTATTGACATAACCCTAAATAGGTACTCTGCAATAATTATTTAATGAATTTTATTGTAATAAATCTTTTGAAATTTATATTATGAGAAAACAAAGGGTAGATCATTTATAATCAACCTTAAAAATAATTTTAAAAAGACAACATCAAAATAATGGTGATTTAGGTGAAAACTAATTTTTTTTTTGGTTAAAATAATTAAAATAAAGTTATTTTTAAATGATTTATGAAAATAATGGGGAATAAAAAATATTAAAATTTTAATTTGCTTTTTTTTTTTTTTTTTTGGATAAACCATTTTATGGAGACTAGAGAAATTATTATGTGCAGTGGCCTCCAACCTTGGATATTAACATGGGTCTCACAAGTGGAAATCCACCAACCAAGATGGAGGTTAGAAAGAGGAGAACCGATGACATACATCCTACTCAACCACAGCCATTCCAACACTCAAAAAAAAAAAAAAAATAAATAAATCTTCAAGCCTACACCAAAACTATCTGAAAAATAATCAGAATGCAGAAAAACATTGAAGTCTTAAGATAAGTAACTTAAAACTTCTTCAGTAGTTAGACCAAATTAAAAGATTACCAAAGGAGATAAAGTGTGATTGCGCAAAAGCCGGAGGAAAACCATGCTTGTCTTATTTGCCTTAAAAGAATATTATGAAGAAGATAACCACATACAATTAATTAAAATTATGTTTCTGGTTCATTCATCACCATGAATTTCACCAATTAAACTCAAATTTACACGTACAAAAACTCACCAATATAGACACTCATAAAAGAAGCAGCACATATTGCTTCGATCAACATAATAATCCTGCAGATAAAATGAGTACACTGAGATATAGTCAACAATACATTAGTTTCACAAAGAAACAACTGTATTCCAATGAGCACCCAGAAAAGGCAGAACCCAGTATCTTTTAATTTTGATTTAGCCCACAAGGAATATATACAGCATACTGAAACTGATGTTACTACAATCAGCAGTATTCAATGTTACAACCAGTTTTTAATAACGCTACTGAGCAATGGAAAACAGAATCCAGGATATGGAAGATTATACATCTATCCTAGAAAGAAAAAGAAAATCATAGGGATGTTTCCTGAATTGCACCTACTCTTTCCCTTTCTGATGAACTTTCAGAAGATTTCGATTTAGAGCAAAAACAAAATTATATAATGATATGAAATAGCATATGGTAACCTATATTTCAACTATATGGCTCAGATTTCATTCACAAGTGTTTGCTAAACATAAAGAAGAAACAGAAGACAGAAAGAAATGTTAAACACACACACACACACACACAAAAATAAAAAAAAGTTCAAGATGCTTAAGATTCTAGTCAGGTGAGATGAGTACCTCAGTACTGTAGAGATAGAAAGAATACTGATGTGGGGTTTCCAAACCATGACAAGTAGCATTGCAGCAGTTCCTAGCATGGATAAAAAATATTTAATACAACAGCAATAACATTTATAATTTCAAAGATAAAGAACTGCATTCGAAATACATCGACCTGCAATTGAGCTGTAAAAAAAATTATATATATACTAAACACAGGTGATATTGTTATTTTCTTTTTCAGATATCATTTACAGTAGCAAAAGCTTTTTAAGCAGAATATACATTTAGGTCAACAAGAAAAAAAGAAACAAACTAACAAATACATACCATATGCAGTAATGGCAAACGGTAGGCGAACAATATGTTTCAACTTCTGACTGAAACTATAATAACCCTGCAAAAACAGATTTTCATTTAAAGAGCTGCAAATTACATAATGTCACCTATCAACACAGAAATACCGCTGGACCTTTCCAGCCAGATTTCTATGACAAGTTCATGACTCCATCTCGAAAGGGGAATTTTTTGATTGGGCACAGATTTACATAAGATAATGTTCTTGTGGTCTAAAGAACACTATTTTTACCAATAGAATTTAAGCCTCAGCACAAAGAGCATTTCATGTTAAATAACAGCAGACGGTAGTTATTCTAATAAGATAAGGCCTAGGTATCCAGGAGAAACCAATCTCAGGGAAATTCTAAAAGATCTCCTGCACTAGAAGAAACAAAAATTCAGTCTCTTCTAATGTGTTTGTGCAGCAACGGAGGGAGAGAGAGAGAGAGAGAGAGAGAAACACTCAGATAAATAAAAATTTAAAGAAGTAAATCGATCAATTTTACCTGTAAGCGTATTTTCTGCACTTGATAAACGAAATACTGTTGAAATATGCCTGAGACAGAGAAACAATAAAAGTTAACCAGAATAAATCTCCTAAAATAGCAGCATGGCATGATATCCATCTAAGATACAATAGCACATAGATGTGAGCACATGATGTGAAACTAAGCCCAGACCAGCTGGCAGTTAATCAACAAACGAATAATGATCATGATAGAAGTATATATATTCTAAGTTCTCAAAAGTTCAATTGTACAAACTAGATTATTGGAAGATATGCTGCCTCTAGCACACTTCACATGTACCGAGGTTATCACATTGATCAGACAATTAGTCTAAATCCCATAATAGGATTTTAATACATTTTAAAGTTCATGATTTATTTTCTACATGTGAATAATTAACTCCACACTTTTACTTTTTGGTTACATTTTTGGGATATGAAGGATCAATCCAAGCATTATGTGATCAAATACTCTCCTTCTCTCCCTCCAAAAAGAACACACAATCAGGAAATTACTTTTGATGGCCAAAGATGATGACAATGATGAGTTACAGATGCACAGCATGCGCTTTAACTCTCTATTCTCCATCATTCCACAAGAATAATTCAAGAAGTCCGGACTTCAAAAATTTTATTGTCCATCCCAGGCTAACAAACTAATTTAGACCAAAAGAATGACTTAAGGTGACGAATATATGAAGGTTTTGTAATTTAAATTCACAGACAAGGTGAAAGTGGTATGTAAAATCCTGAAAAGTAGACTCCAGCATATATAAGTGTATAAAATGGTACATTGTAATATTGATTTCATAGAGATAATCACATAATATAATTTGAAAGATCAAAACAATTTTGCTAACAATTAAATAATAATAAGCGTTACGAATTCGCCAAACTCAACAATATTTTAGATATTGGCTCAATTTCATAATGTCATCCTCTTTGGTTCATCTAATAGATGAACCACTCTATTTAAAATGTGAAAATTACTTCGCAAAGATTTTGTATTCCCTTTTTTGAATTAGAGAAAGAAACAATTCACAATAATGTTCACAAATGAAGAAAACATAATCAAGCTACTGCAACTCCACCTCTAATTCCTTTTCTTCTAAATCAATTTTTTATTATTATTATTCTTTTAATTCAAGATAGCCAGACTCCAAACATGGAAATTCTAATGCCTCATGATAACTTGACTACACCAAGTGCAGGCACTTCATCTTCTGAATCATAGCATAACATAGTACAGTGTTTAAAAAATCATGCAATAAATTCATAAGAGGCAGATGTTATATCCGAACAAATCTAATTTGAACAATGCATTCATTGGAAATGCGGATCCATATTTTACAAAAGTTTACATTCAATTAAGAAAAGCTATAGTGAAAAACCTGTGACTACCAAAAGAATAACATCACAACTGCAAAGCAATGGCGGGATCAAACTCTTTATAGGATGAAATATCCATGGAGCTCCTGCAGCCAAAACACCGTAACCTGCCTAAAGTCAAAGAACAATCAGAGCTTAATCCCTTTTTTTCAACAATAAAAATAACATGAGTATGTACTTCAACTTACCAATACGAAAACGTAAACAATACTCCCAAAAAGACTCCTAGATTTCCGGTGACCAAACAAAGGAGCTTCATGTAGTATATCCAAAAACCTAGAGTACAATAATAGTAAATTCAAACACCAAAATCATTTTGGTATAGATTGTGCAGAAGTAAAGCATGAAATGAAACAATTCAACTACTTAAGCAGAATAATTAAACAATTAAAATAGAAACAGCCAGTGATCAACAGCGAAACTCAACCAAAACATAATTCAACACATTAATGAGGAAAAGCAGGCGAAGATTATGAATTTTAAGAGAATGTGTGAAGCAAAGTGCACGATCGGAAACTTACATAGCATTATCTTCAGGAGAAGTCGGAGTCGAGGAAGCGTGTCTCTCCGTTGACATCTTCTAAGCCTATTTCGTTTCTCGTCAATTTCTTTCTGTGAATTGCTTTGGATTGAAAATTTGGAATGCGATGGAGACAGGAGAGACAGTTTAATTGCAGAGCCCGTTGTTAACCTGTTAATTAACGTGAAAATATACAGTAGAACCTCCCCCACGGAAATATATCATAAAAAATTCTAACCTAATTTGGACCAATTATAAATAAGAATAAATTTTACATTGTAATAGGTTATAATTTTCCTAAGTTCTATCTTAAAGAATTTGCCTTTATATAATAATAATTATACATATATCGCAAAAAAACATAAACAATGTTATATTAAATGTTTAAGATGAAATAAAATATTTATCTAAAGTTGTTTGGGACAGTGATTTATGCTTTAAAGTTTTTACCACATCTTTTATCTTATGAGTATGTAATAAGTCGCCAGTATGGACACCTTCTCATTGAAGCCAAAATATTTCTAGCTTCTCAAGTATGTTTATAGTTTCTTGACACGAAATTTTTGGTATTTTCGTATTATCATCCTCAAGATTATATCATTCCTCTTCTTGTCTAATTCCAATAATTATTTTTTCTTCAATTAAAACATACACAGCTTGTTGCTCATTTTGATGATTGATAAATAAATTAATATCTATTTCATTAGTGTAGTGAAGTTGTCGAATCTGTTCACTTAATTTATTTGTACTACTGAAACATGAATTATAAAATAAAAAATCAAAACAATAATTTTTTTAATCAAAACAATAATTCTTGTAACAACACCTCTATTAAGTTATAACCTCCTCATAATAATAAATTTAGTTAGTTTCAACATTATGACTAGAGAGGCTCTATTGTATATATTTAAAAGGGACTATTATGCTCTACCTCTCCTAGGTTTCAGTTTCAATCTTAAACCCTGAAAGGAAAGAAAAATTACACGACCTCCCTTCACATTTGAAGAATTTTCCGTTATCTAATGTATATTTTGGCCCCTCATGAGATCGGTTAATATCTAATTCATGCATTTCATTTTAAAAGTATAAAAAACATTCCTACTGTTAGTGATATGTTAGGTTTCATCCAATTTTTAAATTAAAAGTCTATTTTACACCAACCCATCACTTATCAACTTAACAAATTTTTTAAATCTTTATTCAATAAATATCTAAATCCACAAAATCAACCCTGAACTTACAATTATACAATCCTAAGCAAGGTTACACATTTAGTTGAATTTTAGATAAAAGAAAATGTATAATAATTGTGCTTTTAAAGTGATAAAGTAGTGAAAAACGAGATTAATATGAATGAAATAATTTATACCTAATTAAATAAATAAGAGATGTTGAAATATTGATTTATCAACTATAGTAATAATTATATTTTAGTTAAAACATAAAAAAATTTATACATTATTAAAACTAGCCATGTTAAAAGAAAAAAAACACTAGATGTGTTATTGTCAACCACACCCCCTGAAACATAAATCCTTGCTAGTCCCCATGAATTTCAGAAACTACAATGGAGACCTCTTACCCTCTCTTTTGGCCATTAAATTGGATGAAGGGAAAGCCAAAATGGGCATTTTATATTAAACCTATTATTGAGTAAATCTGGTTCGAGCCTTAGTTCTCAAAATCCCCACATATGGGAATCCACTCAACTACACAACTTTTCATGGTTTGAAAAAGGATACAAAACATATTTGAAAGCAAAACTGATAAAAAAAACCCCCAAATTGCAAAAGTCGTAACCTATCAACTCCTCTCCGATTATCAAATTAACAAAACCAAAACTCAATCCTAAATCAAATGCAAAATCAAAAATCAAATGATGTTTAAGTGGTTTACGGTTAGAGAAAAGTGGCCTTTGGTAATTAAGGCTGTTCACAAAAATCCGCAAACTGAAAAACCAGTTTTCTGATGAAACTGGTTCGGTTTCGGTTCAAGAATTTCTTTTAACCGAATTTCTGATTTGGTTATTGGTTTAGTAGATTCTGAGAACTGGTTAACCGAAACTGGTTTTTAAAACCGGTTTTGCAATAAAAATTAAAATGTTCAAAAGGGACAAAAGGTCCAAAACTGGTTCAAAATCAGTTAACCAGTTTATAGGAACCTATTAATCGGTTTAGTTTTTTTTTTTTTTTTTTTAAGTTTTGGTGTACATTTTTACACTGTTCTGGGGAGAAATCGGTTCAAAACCAGTTAACCAGAAAAACGGTTCGATTCAAAACCGGTTTTCCCCTAGAACTTGGTTTGGAACCGGTTCAGTTAAAAAAAAAAAGGTATTCGGACCGATTAACCAGTTTTGAATACCCATACTAGTAATGTGTCGCAGTATTGACTGACATGGTGGTCTGGTAGTATGTCATAATAGGTCGACATATAACTTTAAAGCCATTCGCGGATGGCCATGCTTTGTCTGGTAGTTGTCAACAAAGTGCTAGCAATTTGGCTTACTAAAAACACATGTTGCTTGTCGGGGAATAAGGGTGAAGTCACCGATCTACTTTTGCGGGTTGACATTAAATTTTTTGTTTTCTAATTTGATTTGTAATTGAGGGTGTTCTTGGATTTTTATTTCGTAATTAGAGGTGTTTTCTAATTTCCTTATATAATTTTACAAAATAAGAATATAATTTACTTAAATAGATTTTTTAGAGGGGTAAAATGGTGAACTGATCATAAATCTATGTACAAATATATAAATTCGATGGCTAATAACAACCAAACTATCAATTTAACGGGAAAAAGAGACAACAGGGGGTCTCTATGTAGTTTCTAAAGTTCGTGGGGGGTACAATTATTTTATTTCAGGAGGTGTATTGACAATAACCCTAACTAGGTACTCTGCAATAATTATTTAATGAATTTTATTGTAATAAAATCTTTTGAAATTTATATTATGAGACAAACAAAGGGTAGATCATTTATAATCAACCTTAAAAATAATTTTAATTGAGACAACATCAAAATAATGGTATTTAGGTGAAACTAAGTTTTTTTTTTGGTTAAAAATAATTAAAATAAAGTTATTTTTAAATGATTTATGAAAATAATGGGGAATAAAAAATATTAAAATTTTAATTTGGTAATTTTTTTTTTTTTTTTTTTGTGTGTGGATAAATCTGGTAAATATATTGAGAAAAAGAAAACTACTAGGAAAGGGAAAAACCCTTAAACTTGCAAACCCTTGGACAGACCCAAAGGGCAAAGGCAACACACAAATCGACTAAACAACAGCTAAATGCATAGCCTAAATAGACCCAGGCCTGTACAAAAAAAGATGATATATACACCAAAAAAATCAAGGCAGACGCCCAAAAAATAGAAGGGCATAGCCCTGGTAGTCAGATATGAACAGATAAACCTAAACACAAAAACCATAAGTAATCCTAATCAGCATACTAACAGGATCCCTACCATAAACACCCATAAACATCAACCCAACCTTCCACATCTCATCCCTGCTCCTCAGCCTAGTTATGAGAATCATGCACATAACCTTTAATACATTCCATTGGGAGGTCTCATTCAAACGTAAACCGGCAGACAGAAAGGCCATCCTTAAAACGGAGGGAGTAGAGCTGAAGCCTAACTTCTCCCAAAATAATAGACTCTAGCTTTTCTTCACTTCTACTACTGTGAAGATGCAAAAGTTCCTCTCTTGCCAAAGGAAATAAATCAAGGCACATAGGACTAACTTACCAACAACAACAGAGGTGCTTTTACCTTTCAAATTAATAACACACCAAGCAATAATTTCTTGCCAACTACCACGCATAGGAAAAAAACTTCCCCTTAGCTTAGACTGCCTTCCAGACTTTTTAAGCATACTAGCATTGGAAAAACAAGTGATCATGAGTCTTCATAACCGTGCTACAAAGTTTGCAAAGGAGGTCATCACCATTTCTCCAATGTCTCATTTTATCCTAGGTGAGAAGTTTGGACTTGAAGGCCAACCAAGAAATAAATGAATGCCAACCAAGAAATAAATGAATGCCTTGGGATACAAAAACTATTCCAAATCACACTACACCACGGGACCACTTGATTAGCAACGGACAAATCCATCCAAACCTGCTTGGTGGAAAACTTCACTCTTTTACTATCTCAATTCTACCAAAAAAAAAAAAAAAATAGATTTGCATGCCTTCATAGTTCACAAGAAGGAGGAATTGAAGAAGATAGTAATGTAGGGACAACCTCAGAGATACATTGCGACCAACACCATTGGTTATTTTCAACAACATCCCTAACACAAGTAGTGTGACCTGGCCTAGTCTCATGAAACAATCTTGGGGGGATAAAGAGGTTCAGAGGCCCTGACGGGTGCCAATAATCACCTAAAGTAGACAAAATGCTGTTGGACTTTGTCCCTTAAAGCAAGTAACTTTCTCCAACACCAACTAGCATCCCAAGGCACATGGACAATCCAAAAGCCTTTCCCTTCCAACCTATAAGAATGAACCCACTTGACCTAAAAGGAGTCTCTGCTAGTAACAATATTCCACAAGTGGTAAGACATAAGCGCAATATTTTTGCTCTTAAGAGGCTTGATTCCAAGACCACCTTCTTTCTTTAGACAACAAATATCTTTCCAAGCAACACAACACTTCCCCTTACTCATCTTATTGCCAATCCAGAGGAAGGAGCGCATCATTTTTTCAATAGAAAGAGTGACAGAGCTCAGAAGAATGAAAACTCCTGCCCAATAAACATGAAGGGACGCAAGAACATAAATAATGAGTTGCAACCTTCCAGCATAGGAGAGACTTTTGTTCTTCCAAGAACTTAGGTTGTGGAAGGGGTAAAGTAAACTTCTAATCTGAACATTGGATGAAGTCTAACATATCACTAATGGAATAGGTGATTTTAATACTTTTGGAACAAAGTGGATGAGTTGAACATTAATTGTTCTTAAGGGGGTAAATGAAATACATTAGATGACAAAATCTGTCAACCAATGGTCAAAAAGAGAGGTATTGGATAATTCTTCAAAAGTGAGGGGAGGTCAAGGTTAATTTTTCATACCTTTGGGGTGTGAGTGACTTAAACTGAAACCTGAAAGGAGGTATGGGATAATACTCCATTTAAAAGAGAAAGAGTTAAGCTAATGTCTA